GACCCCCAAGCCCCGCCGAACCGGAGCAGGGCCGGAGAGAACCGAACGAGGGCCGGCCGGTCCGTCGGTAAGAAGGGAGGCAGGCAGGGAGGCAGGCAGGCAGGCAAGAGGGAGACCGGGAGGCGGAAGCGGAAACAGACACCATAGAGGTCCCGCCGGGCGTACCGGAAGCCGAGGGGCGCAGAGCCGGAGGGAGAGAAGAGGCCGCGGCCACAGAGCCCCGACATGGGCTCGGCTAGAGCGGAACGAGGGCCGGCCGGTCCGTCGGTAAGAAGGGAGGCAGGCAGGGAGGCAGGCAGGCAGGCAAGAGGGAGACCGGGAGGCGGAAGCGGAAACAGACACCATAGAGGTCCCGCCGGGCGTACCGGAAGCCGAGGGGCGCAGAGCCGGAGGGAGAGAAGAGGCCGCGGCCACAGAGCCCCGACATGGGCTCGGCTAGAGCGGAGCGTGAGACGGCCGTGGAAACTGGTCCAAACGGGCGGATTTCTAGTAAGAAAGGACAAACATCAGAAGGTTCAATGTAAAACTAAGCGATGTTGTAAAAATAGTACACCAGACATTTATATGAATATATAATTTCAGCATTGACTTCAATTATTCTTAAACTATCCCTTGGCAACAGCTTATTTGTTAACTTTATTAATGGCTGTTGCTGCTCCTAGACTCTGGAACTCCTTCCCACAAGAGGTCAGATTGGCCTCCTCTTTCCACAAGTAGGCACCAATCTTTCTCTTTAGGCAAGCTCTCTCTCAGTGACAGGCTCTTGTGTTTTTCTCAGGCTTTAATGTGTTTGAGAACCATTTTTATCTACTAGTTCTAACATTCTGTTTCCCCCCCTAAAATATTGTAATAATGTATTGTTTATCAACTTTTAACATTGTTTTAACACTGTAAGCCACGTCTTCTTGAGGAAAAAAGCAGAGTATAAATGTTTTAAATAAATAAAAGGGAGGGAGGGCTCCCTTGCTTGGGCAGGCGGGCCGTTAGGGGACGGCAGCCCTTCTCCGGCCGGGCCTCGCCGCCGCCCCCCCCCCGGTGCCGCAGAGGCCTTCCGCAGAGGGCCTCGATCCCGGGGGGGGGTGGGGGTGGGGGTTTGCTTGCCCTCCTTATCCCTCTCCGTGTCGGCCGGCTGGTCTGTAAAGGGCCTTCCTTGCCTCTTGAG